ACTGACTTTCAGCTTGTTGTGTTTGTGGATATATGACTGACTTTAATTATCCATAAAATCATCAGATTCTCTGTAAGATTAAGGTCGACTATATATATATTTAGAAGTAGAGGCTTTAAAACCAAGTTAACGCTGAAAGTACAAACATTGCTAATGTCACATAACTTTGCCGACATGTGGCCAACAGCAATGTTTTAATGTTCTTCATTATTAAACATTCGCACATAAATAAGTGACGTCATGTTCAGTACTTACTTTTGACAGTTCACTCTTGGCCGCTCCCTTCTGCCGTATTTTGCGGCAAAATTATCCACACCCACCGCCGCGCTATGAATTGTGGGATATATGGGACCGCGAAGCGTGCACCGGACCACGCTTGGTATTTGGGGAAATCGACGGCGCATTTGGAGTATGCGTTTTAAGTGCACTTCGAATTGGGACAGCCGTCGTCGCGTGGCGGTGACGTAACCGCACTTAAAATGCATACTTCAAGCGTGCAGACCCTGAATTGGGACACAGCTAGCATGTCTTGAAGTTCTCCAGAGGCCTGGTAATGAACTAATCATGTGATTCAGGTGTGTTGACCCAAGGTGAGATCTAAAACCTGCAGGACACCGGCCCTCGAGGCCTGGAATTGCCCACCCCTGTTCTAGCGTGACAGCTGCATGCATGACTTTAAATTTGATCCATTTCAATTTGCAATGGTTACTCGGTGTGCTCAATTCTAACTCTGGCATAGCCTAATAAAGAACACCACAGCGAAATGAACTGACTGAACAGTTATTAATGGTCATAAATGGCCTATAGATGTAACTGATCAGTCTGCGTTGTTGTAGCTATAAACGGTGTAACAGGCTCTGTAGCACTAGGAATACACAAAAGAGATTTCTGCATTTCTTGCATCATCAACTGAATGCTTGAAAATCTGCATGACAGTTTGCGACCCTATAGCTTTACAGCAGAGCTTCATTTTGTTGTTTTAATTAGGTAACACTCAGCAGGTTGCATATATGAAAGGTTGCTTCAGCAGAGAATGTGTATAACAATTAAAGCACCTTTGAAAATGTGGCATTTCAGACAAATTCAAACAGAAGCTTTCAGAATAACTTGCTCCAGACTCTGACTTAAAGTTGCGCTCTAACCCATTCATGTTGCTGGTAGGTGACTGACTAGCTTCTTAGTTGCTTTTAGAATGTTTTTGGTTGTCGTCCAACCATAGTGGCAGTCGGCTCTGCATTCTGCTGAATCAGAACATCAAAATCTTTTTGGTCCAGAGCAGGGTTTTAATAGTTTTGCAATTTTCATTAGTTTTTATTTTTTTTTAGTTTTGACTTCAGATTTTCAATTTTATATCAGTTTTAATTAGTTTTTACCAATTGTTTGCTAGTTTAGTTTTTATTTTTTTTGAAAATCCTTAGTTTCAGTTTAGTTTTGATTAGTTTCAGTTATAGTTTTAGTTGTGTTTGCAATAATTAAGTGTATCAAAATCCCAGTTTCATCATATCAGTCATTCTCTTCTGCTTATCCTTGGTATGTTGCTATTCCAGCTACCATACCCTGCACCCTGGACAGGTCGCCTGTCTGTCGCAGGGCTAACACGCAGAGACAGACAACTGACATTCCCACCTATGGGTTCTTTAAATAAATAAATAAATAAAGGCAGATGAACAACCATTGATACCAGGCAACTATAAAATGTATATCTTGGCCCCAATGAGACTATTAACTCTTGTGTTCGTAATTTTGGTTCAAGTGAATTGATAAACTTTTTGAAGGTAATTGACTCACACAGTTGTGTAGATATCCCCGTCCTGTTGTCTCGGGATGCATCACGCTGCCTTGCCTGGGGTTAGCTTCTGTTTTCTGGGGATGAGTGTTGAGTGTGCTCCCTTACCTTCTCAAGGTAAGCTAGCTTCTTGTGTGAGCTTTTCAAGTGCACTTTAAGGTTTGTGGGATTTTTTTTTTCCCTTTAGAAATGTCCCTCATAATTTGTCTCTTTCCACTACAAGACACTTGCTTTATCCAAAACACAGTCATATTCAAAGTAATCCCAAATTGGACTCTGGCGCTTTCTCCTGACTTTTCCTGACATGATTCTGCACGTGGACGGAGCAGCAACACAGACGACTCGATTAACGTATTTGCCACCTGCTGGCATAATGAGACACAGCAAGAAAAAAATCTGGAAACTAAACTTCATTTTCACCCTTGACTATTGTATGACACACACACACATCTACGAAAACGAAACACATTTTTGCTATAAATTCAGTTAATTTTAGTTAGTTTTGTGAACACTCATTACAGTTAGTTAGTTTTCCTTTTTTTGTTATTTTTATTTCCGTTAACGAAAATGTTTCGTTTATTTCGTTAGTTTTCGTTAACGATAATAACCTTGGTCCAGAGCCACTGGAAGCCATGCCTGCATCTGCAAGTCCATCCGCAATTCACAAGAAGCTCTACTGCACCCAGACAATGGACTCAAACTTGCATACAGAAATTTATATAGCGCTTTTCTACTCATCTGAGCACTCAAAGCGCTTTACACAACTTGTGCATTCACACAAGCACGTCTTTCTAAGTGCTTCATAGCTAACATTCATACTCCGATGGATGCATCGGAGAGCAATTTGGGGTTAGTATCTTGCCAAATCAAGGATATTTGGCATGTAGACTAGGGGAAGCCAGGAATCGAACCACCAACCTTCCAAACAGTGGATGACCTGCTCTACCACCTGAGCTACAGCCACCCCGAGATCACCTGATGGCCAGGGTCATATTTGTCAGGTTATTGGGACCAACCTGCGAACTGTGTTGGATCAGTGATGAGCTACTACGTCGTCTATGGGTTTTCTTCTTTTTTGTTCTTAATGTCGATGCCTGGGAATCCTCGTGACATCAGCTTTTCCTGTGTAAAACGGTGTCATAGCACATTTAGTCAAATGTTTGCCAGAGAGAGGTGACAGAGACACAGTCAGTGCATGTTGAAGTACATTGTTGTTATGGGACTTTGACAGAAGCTGTGACTGATGACCTGTAGGGCCAAAGAGCATCAGACAAGTGAAAACCAGGATCCAAGAAGAAGTTTAACATGCTTTTGCTCCTGCTGAGGTAGAGGGAAGTGTACTCTCTATGGAGGAGCACTAAAAAGGTCACCTCCAGCTTTTGATCGTAGTTTTTCTTCCTGAGACATTTGGGAAGTTGACCGTTGACCGACCCAGGGGTGGGATATCACAGGATATTAGGGAAATTTGTGATGATGCAGAAAAAAAGAATGGATGACTGATTGCAGCTCACAGACAGCAGCATTTATTAATGCAAAAATAAAGAATGAGCTACTCTCATTGATGGCACACTGCCACGCTGCCAATCTGAATCTATGCCTTACAGTGCCAACAGCAGCATTATATACAGTGACACAGTGTAAGACAGCTGTGAACAGCCTGAATAGTTTTTTTTCAGGAGAAATGTTTAACAGTTAGAGAGGATAATGTGGATGGCATCATGCTAGTCTGTGGGATGACTTTGGAAGTCAAGAACCTCTTTTGATTTCCAAAGTGAGTGAAGGCAGAGGCAAGAGTTAAATGCTGGAAGCTGAAGTAGCAAGAACGTTGTTCAGAGTTCAGAAAGGAGTTGAGACAGGCTCTGGGGAAGTACAGCTGTATTGCTAAGGGTAACTGCAGAGGAGGAGATGCAGAGTGTTGGTGTGACAGAGGAGGATTCTGGGATAGTGTGAGATGAAGGCAGATAATCTGCTGTGGCGACCCCTAAAGGGAAAAGATGGACAAACAAGGTGGCGGCTTCGTTACTGTAGGTGGCTGGCTTTATGGAAAGATCCTGGCTGACTTGAAACAGAGTGAGACCGAGGCATGTCTCACAAAAATGTCCCAAACCGTATTTCTGCTTCACTATAAGAGTATTTGATATTGGATTTAAATTTTCTTTTTAATGAAAGTGGCTGTGCTGACTTGGCGAGGACTCTGATTCTCGCCAAGTCAGCACAGCCTCGCCAAGTGGCTGTGCTGACATGGCGAGGACTCTGATTCTGTTGTTTAACATCATGTTTCCATTTCAAGCCCAGGGATTGATGTTACCACAGAGCTCGACAGCTGGATCGACAAGTTCTGTCTGGATGCTGATGTGTTTGTTCTTGTGGCAAATTCTGAATCCACGCTGATGCAAACGGTAAGAACTGCATGAAGAGATGAGGTTCAAACAGGACTGTTGATGACATGTCAAAACAATCTGAGTGAGGGGATTGTGTGACGCTGCTGTGCATTGGGAACATTTTGCTTATATGGTGTTTTCCCTGTCAAAAGTCGTGTGAGGAGAAAACATAATCCAGACAAATAATTTCTTTTAACAGGCACATGTATTCATGCTTTACTGCCAACACAATTAAATTCAACAACTGACATGCGTAGAACTCTGCAGCTTTGTGCACAAAGAAGCCTGGTTTTTGCACACTGCTGCAGTTTGATGCTCTTGTGGGTAGCTGTCGGTGCTCACAGCTGAATCCTGCTTGCTCAGATGAACTCCCTTTTGACTGTTTGGAAGCAGGAATTTAATTGCATGAGTGCCAATGAAAACATGCTACCTTGAAATTATTTACTTGGATTGTTGTTTTGTGTTTTGTTTTGTTTTTTGGCACATGACCTTTGACAGAAGAATAATTCTATAGTTGCCATCAGGAAAGGTCATCACAGATGAATCCAAAGTATTTCAAAGGGTTCTTTTTCTTATGATGAAAGATTTCTGTCCTGATGGGTCTCATTCAGAGTAACAGTGCCTCCCTCAATAATGCTGGTTTGAGTATAAAAAAATGTGAATCTAACATTTTTTTTGCCAACCATTTGTATTTTCTCATTCACGGATTCCTTTTTTTCAAACATTGGTACATTTTCATCCTGCAGGAGAAGTCCTTCTTTCACAAGGTCAATGAGCGACTTTCCAGTCCCAACATTTTCATCCTCAACAACCGCTGGGATGCTTCTGCCTCAGAACCTGAATATATGGAGGAGGTCAGTTATGGTGCATACACAAAGGACTTCTTTATGGCTGTTGTAACACTAGCAAGAGTGTCCACTTCAGTTTAGCATTTACCATTTGATGTCTCACATGGGACATTTTGGTCTCCTAACAGCTAAAGAGGTGTCCTTGTTGCTGTGGTGGGCAAATTTAAAGACACGATGATGACTTTGTTAAAGTTGTGTGTGCATGAATGCGTATTAGCTGTCAGGAGGTACTACAAACCTTAAGATGGTCCTTAATGTGGCTTGTTGGTTACACACTAAAGGGCACTGTTCCAGGAGAAATCACCTCAAAACTCTCAATACCTGTCTAAAGATTCATTTTTTTAATAGATGTGTTAGTCTGATGCTGCAGTGTGTCCTCTTTGCCTTGTATTAGAAGTTTCTAAGAGAGTTTATGAAACGTTTCTGTTTAATTTTTCTTAATACCATAAATGTATAAATCTCAATGTGGCATCACTTCCTCATCCAAAGAAAGCTTTGTTCTGGTAGGCTTTGCCTTTGTGATTCTTGCTAATTTAAGTGTGTTCTTGCTCAACCAGGTCCGTAGGCAGCATATGGACCGTTGCACTAATTTTCTGGTGGATGAATTGGGCGTAGTGGACCGAGCCCAGGCTGGTGACCGTATATTCTTCGTTTCTGCCAAGGAAGTACTTCAGGCTCGTGTGCAGAAGGCTCAAGGAATGCCTGAAGCAGGTGAGGGCACCAGTCTGCGCAATCAAAACTCTGGAAAGGTTTGAATTTTGAAATACGCAGCAAAAAAGTTCCTTGACAAGCTCTGTACAATGATAAGATTGTACCAGATCGATCGGGGCCCAGGTTGTCGACTGCCTCTGGTGCTGTTGGCCAGTGGAAGGCTGGTAGGTACTGGGCTACTGTTGGCCGAAGATGAGACAGTGAGAGAGGAGAAAAGGCAGGATTGTGGAGGAGTAGGTACTTTAAATGTAAGGACCATGACTGATGTGATGGACAGGACGAAGGTAGATGTTTTGTGCATGCAGGAGACAGAGTGGAAGGTAAGCAAGGCCAGAAAACACTTTCTGCTTTTCTTTACAGCCATGTGACAAGGTTATTAATCCCATCATGGTGCCACACAGCCATTTGTGAGTGTCTGTAGCTAAGGAGGTAGAGGAGGTCATTTATCTAATCAGAAAAGCTGTTCCCGTCTCCAGTCTGCATGCCAAAGTATCCTTAGGAGTACTACTAAACCCCAAGTTTCTCTCTGGTGCATTTATTGGAGTGTTAATGTTAGAAAAAATGTACTTCGTGTAGAAAGTCCTTGTATGAATGGCTGAATTCATGTTGTGTTGTGTTAATTGCTTTGAGTGCTCGAATATAAAAGCGTTATATAACAACCAGTCTATAACATAGTAGGCTTGACCAGTAATAATGTAACGTTAAGTCTAGTCATAAATACGAAGTCTGTAATGTCCATGCAATGTCCATTTAAAACTTCAACTTTACCTTTGACTTCCTTGTAGCATGCTGTTAGTTTTGCCAGTGGAGGAAAAAAGGTGGGATGGGGTCACATCCCTGTCTTAAACATGATTTAGTATCCTCTAAATATTTTACTTTCATACGGCACTCTTTGGAAAGCCTGTGTGTTGAATTGTGTGCTGTTTGTTTCTCCAATGGCTCTGTTTGTGTTTTTACCAGCTTCTTCCTTTATGCAGCACTCAGCTCTGCTCACTCACTAAAACCTCAACAGCACCATCTGGTGGACTAAAAGTGCAATTGACTTTAGTATATAAATAAAATATCACACGCACAGCATCTCTGCATACATAGGTTTCTATGGCTATGTCCACATGTACACGGATATTTTTGAAAACGCAGATTCTTCTATGCATTTGGGCCTTTCATCCACACGTAAACTGTGTTTTCAGTCACTGAAAACTTGATCATAAAATGCAGATTGTAACCATGATCATGACCACCGATCAATAACCAGTGATCAAAGACCATTATGGACCTGGCAGTCATAGTAGCGGGTGGGTTTTGATAATCGATTTATCGATTAAAATCGATTCTGGCTTGGATAATGTGATATCGATTCATTAAAATCCTGAATCGATTTTTTTAATATAAATTAATTTTGCCCGAAATGCCAGAATCTCAGGTTAAACCTCACAAAATTTCTGAAACCACCAAACAGCTAAAACAGCTTTAAATGAGAGCAAGAACACGGATTCTGCACAAAGACTTAAACACAAAGCACGGACCTGCGGATCAGAATCAGTGAGATGTCGCCTTTCTCACCCGACGGCATGGACACGGTTGGGGCTGAAAACCGACAGCTCGCTGATTCTGATGTTTCGGCGGGTCCGCGCTTTGTGTTTACGCCCTTTTTGCGCTGATTCTAAAGCTGTTAGTTTTATCTCTCTCCAAACAATATTGACCGAACCAGCAGCAAAAGAAGATCCAAACTACGCTTCACATAAACATCGTCATGGATTCCCTCTTACTTTTGCTGTTTTGCTTCCACCACGATAAAATCACACTTCATGCACAGCTCTCTCTCTCGCTCTCTCTGTACTTCAACAACATTTTCCCGTCTAAAAATCTGCTTTCTGCATTATTCGCTTGCTTGTTACGCACAAGACTACCATTATTTTCCGAAAAGAAAACCTAGTTTCTGCCGTTCAATAGGCTTCTGAACAAATTTAAACTTTTTAAAATTATGCAAAACGCAAAACGCTTAGCCGTGTCTCTAATAAAACCACTGTAACTTCAGAGGTAATATTCATATGTTGATTAAGGCTTGTTTTTGATGTGCAGAATATTTTTATAAAATCCCAGGCCAGGAAAGTCGCCTTCATGTTTTTCTGTTTTATCTTCAGCTACTTTGACACAAAGGCATCTGCTGTGATGCTCACACCTTTGATAAAGTCTGGAAAGTGTCAGCTTCCTTTTTATAGATACAAAAATATGTAAATGTACTGATCTGAATTATAATATTTCTGACTGTCTGAGGCAAAATTTCCCAGATTCAAATCGAATTGAATTGAATCGTGGATCGAATCGATTCTAGAAATCAGTGACGATACCCAGCCCTAAGTCATAGACTACGTCCATACACACACGGGTATTTTTGAAAATTGAGATTTTCCATTTTCATTTAAATGGAAATAACGTACGTTGTTGTTTATATGAGATAAATTTCTAGAATAAAAAAATACTGTCGTTGTTAATCTTACTACCTGCAGTTTGTACACGCTTACATATACACACACACAGTTACTGTCCCTCCATTTACAAAGACAGAGGCATCAGAGTGAACTTCGGACGTGGCTTCTACATTCAATACAGACGCTCTCACAATGCAAATTGGTTTTAAATAAATGTAATTTCTTTTAAATTAAATTTCTGTATGTTGTATACATTTTTTCATTCCTAAGTTGTGAGTCTACACCAGCCAAAATACTGTCTTTAGTTATTAACATTTGAAATGATGAAGGCACTTGAAAAGTAACACAAAATTAGCTGCCTTTTCAGAAAAACACAAACCTTTCAGAAGTACTTGAGATTTTATGAACGTACAAAACCCAGTTTACTCTTTCCCTCCCAGACTTCTTGACTTCTGATTGGCCAACATTTCTACATGGTTAGGATGCCATGAATTGGCATGTTCTTGAGAGCGTTTAACTTTGTTTTTGGCGTTTACATGTGGATGGAGATATTTTATTTCAAAACTGCACATGTAGAGGGTTTTTTTTTTTTTTTTTTTTTTTTAACGAAAATGGAAAATCTCAGTTTTCGAAAATATCCGTGTATGTATGGACGTAGCCTATGACTGCCAGGTCTGCCTGCTCTTTATGATCAAGAAATTGACCAGGTAAGACCCCAGGTGCAGGCTGTGTAGAGATGCTCCTGAGACAATCCAGCGCATAATAGCAGGGTGCAAGATGCTAGCAGGCAGGACATACATAGAGCGCCATAACCAAGTGGCCGGCATAGTGTACAAGTCCCGAGGTCACCACCCGACGGCGTTGAAGAATGTCTGAGCTAAGATCCTGTTAGACTTCCAGATACAAATGGACAAATTGGTAATGGCTAACCAAGATAGCCAGATAGCTATACCGAATGAAAGCAACATCAGGAAGAAGGAACATAAGAAGCAGGAGAAGTACCAAGGGTTCAGAGAAGAGGTGGAGGGTGAGGGTAACAGTGGTCCCAGTGGTAATCGGAGCACTTGGTGCAATGACCTACAAGCTAGGCGAGTGGCTCCAGCAGATCTCAGGAACAACATCCAAGAACTCCGTCCAGAGAAACACCGTCCTAGATACTGTGTAGGACCTTCAAACTCCCAGGCCTCTGGTAGAGGACCCAAGCTTGAAGGATAGACCGCCCGCAGGGGCGAGAGGGGAATTTATTTTTTAATATAAAAATAAATGGATATATTTATATTAATTAATTATTAGATTAGATTACTGATAAGTATTAGAAAATGTTTAATTTGGCTTATTCGTTGTGTTTAAATAGATTATAAATAAAAAAAACACACAGAATTCTTGTGCCACGTAAAAGTTGTATGCGATCTGTATAAGAGTTTTTTGAGTTTGAATAGACTTTAAAGTGAGGAAATAAAAAGTGTGAAACCCACTGTAGCGCACATTCTCACTCCTGTGCTGTTTCAGGTGGCGCTCTTGCCGAAGGATTTCAGGCCAGAATGTTTGAGTTCCAGAACTTTGAACGGCGTTTCGAGGTAAGATCCTCAAAACTAGAAATGAGATTTGATCTAATTTCTGTACGTTTGAATCAGTATGCTACATATGTGCACCAAATTTCATACATCTATGTGAAACACACAATTGGAAATCCTAACATCCATCTGTACGTCAGTGGGAAAATATATTCAAAAAATGTCCACCTTATACTTTCCTACACTTAAATATGGGCTTTGCTTTTGTTTTAATAATTTTAATATAAAGTAATCCAGTCAGTGAGGTGATGTGAAAGGGGGGGTGGTCTCCACAAAGGGTGGCATCTCTTCCCCCTGAGCCTCCGTTTTCTAGCTATTTTTCTTGCAGATATACTGATAGGGTTCCAGATTGTGTTATGTTTCTGGTGTGATGCACATGCATTAACCTGATTCCATCAGCTGCTTGCACGGCTTGGTAGTAAGATGGTGTAAAAATCAGAGTTTCTGACTCCAGCTTGTCGGTCTGGTGAACCACCTGTCACCCAACTTGAAACAGTCTCGTCCACAGTCCTCATTCATAAAGTGTTTTACAAACCCGAAAATTATGACCAACAGATGCATTTTACTTTTTCAGTGCAGCTAGCCAAACAACACAGAGTCAATTACTGGTAAAGGGGGAGACGGAGAAAGCAGATATTCTTGATTTGTTACCATAAAATCCATTGTTGTAGCCAGGGACAGCACAACAGTTATCCTCTTAAACTGTTTTTTAGTTTTACTGTTCTTATTGACCGCAACCAACCAACAAACTCTGGGATGTCACATTTTGTACGGGAAAAAGATGGCGCTAAACATGTTATAAAAAGCACTTATTTCATAAATCCAGCTACATAGAGTTTTATCTATGCCAGTTTTTGAAAGCAGGGCTCCATGGTGTAAATTAGCTTTCACATAGAGCTTTCTGTGCCTGCACTCATCATGTCATTGTATTTTTATTTTTTTTGCCTGTCCTGTCTGCGACTGTAGCAATCAGAATTATTGTCTGAAGGCCAATAAAAATGCCCAACAGATTTATTTTTCCAAGTGCACCATTACTGATTTTGCTATACTGGTCCACTTGATGTCATACTTTAATAGATTTCAGGATTTTTATGTTTTTACTTCTGTTCTGTTATTACAATCAGAATAGACAGGACTGGGGTATGGGGTATTATACATGATTATATATCCCTATCTGTAAATAACGACTCATGTTAATTAATTTGCATTGTCCCGTTGAAATAAAAAAATATTCTTATGCAGATTATGTAACTTAGTCTAACTGCATTTGTGATTTAAAGCTGGAAATTTACCTTCAATTCCATCACACCCAGGGTCATTCAGTTGCATTCTGTCATTTTTCTTGATTTGATATCTGAATTGCTGACTGTCTGCTGTATTTAGGAGTGTATATCACAGTCTGCAGTGAAGACCAAATTTGAGCAGCATACAGTGAGGGCCAAGCAGATCTCTGAAGCCCTGCGTCACATTATGGATTCGGTATACATTGCTGCACAGGAGCAGAGGTGAGTCTGTGATTAAAAGCAGTATTTGTATATGCTGAGACTTTAAACCACAGACCCCCAAAAAGCATTGCCCTCCTCCTTTAGCCACAGAGTGCCTGGGGAAAGAATTCCCATAAATGGTTTTCATTGTGATTAAGACCCATGTGTGCAGCACATCTCCATCTTGAATAGACTTTCATTCTAAACTTAAAAAGCTGTGTGGGTTGGTGTGTAGAGTCTATTGTTTGGAGACCAAAGAGGACCGTCAGGACCGATTAGAGTTCATCGACAAGCAGTTGGATCTACTGACCATGGACTGTAAGTCCAAGATCAAGAAGATTACTGAGGAGGTGGAGAGACAGGTGAATCCCGGCACAGTGTGACTGTCCTGGTTTATGTGGATTCAGCTAAAAAGAGGGTGGTTGTTCTTTTAGGTTTCTAATGCCATGGCAGAGGAAATCAGGAAGCTCCATGTGCTGGTGGACGACTTCCATATGGACTTCCATCCATCACCAGTGGTGCTCAAGGTCTACAAAAATGTGAGTTTAACTTTAGCATATTCTTAGACTTTTACATTTACTCAGGGCCTTCTCGATATGACGTTCTTCTGCTTCCCTGGCCGCTGTGTCTGTGAGGATGCTATTCGTTCTTTGTGGCATCCTGAGGGCACCCAGTTTGTGCTCCAGTGGATGATGAGAGTCAAACCCTAAATACTGATCCGTATGCTTTGGTCTCCAGTACACTTCAACTTTTAAATGTACCCCATTACTGATGGAAATCTCACAGTCTAACAAGGCTAACCTATCATTTTTTTCATATCCTCCCTGGTCAATCATTAAGGAACTGACCTCACAGCCCGTTGTTCACCACTGGTGCTAGTTCCAGTCATTATGCAAACTTGAATGAGTGATGAAATATTTCTCCCACTGAAAACGCTACGTCCAGATGAACAGAATCAACTTTTTAGGTGTAGTGAAAGTACATCAGGGTATGTTAATTGCACAATATTGTCTCCACTTGAAATACTTCAGTCAATCAGTCAAAACTGACAGATTTTTGATATCATGGCTTTAAAACCTAAAATCATTCAATCTTCTATGAACCTTATGTGTTAATCTAAGGAGCTTCTTTAAGACACTTTTCTTTCCAAGCTCCTTAGACCACAATGACCTGGATGACTGTGAACCTTCACAGACTTAATGTGACAGCCAAGCAACAGCAGATAGCCACAGCCCTGAGCTTGGTTTTGCTTGAGGTTTCTTGTGGTTAAAAGGGAACTTTTCAGTCCCACCGTCACCAAGTTCTTGCTCAAAGGAGATTGTTTGATTGTTGGGGTTTTCTGTCTATTATTGTAGCTTGCAATATAAAGCAACTTGAGGCGACTGCTCTTGTGATTTGGCTCAATATAAATAAAACTGCATTGCACTGAATTGAATTGATTTCATTAGTCATTGCTGCTTCAGGAATTTAATAACTTTGCCATAAATGATGGAACCATGAATTCTACTCTGCCAGAAAATCCTGAAAGAGAATGTTTGACCATCAGCTCATGCTCTGAAGCTCAAGCCACCTGGGTTATGCAGCACAACAGTGATCTGAAAAACAGAAGCAAGTCCACCTCTGAATTGCCCAGAAAAACAAAATGAAGGTTTTGGAGTGGTGTAGTCAAACTCTGGTCTTAAATCTGATTGTGATGCTTTGGCATGACGTTAAACAGCCCATTCATGCTTAAAACGCCTCCATTATAACTGTATTAAAATAATTATGCAAATAAGAGTCGGCCAAAATTTCTCTTCAGTGATGTGGAAAACTCATTGCCAGTTATCACAGATACTTGATTGCAACTCTTGCTGACAAAGAGTGGTATAACCAGTGATAATTTAGAGGGCAATCACTTTTTCACACAGGAAACATCTATGTCAGAGAGTAGACACAGAACCTAAGGCTAAGTTCACACTGCAGGTGTTAATGCTCAATTCCGATTTTTTTTTGATCAAATCCGATTTTTTTTGTCTGCGTGTTCACACTACAAATAAAATGCGACAGCAAACGCGCTCTAGTGTGAACGCTCAAAGCGGCCCGCATGCGCAAAAGAAGACTTCACACACAATGCGCTCTATTTAGACCCAGAGCAAACAGTATTGTTTGACAGATGGCCCTTAATATAAAGACTTCGGACTTTTACGTTTCCCAATTTTTGCTTTAAGTTATTTTGTTATTTACATAATAATGTAAATAACAAAATTTATTTACATTATATGTAAATGTATTATTTACATAATAATGTAAATAACCTAATAATTATCCTTATTGCTGTTTAAGAGGGGAGCGGTGCTTCAAAGGATAGCTGCAGATTTCTGTCAGAATCTGCAGATTATACAGTACAAATAAAATGTTCACGTTTCTCCAACGTTGTCTTCCCAACAGTTTCACTGACATCTACACGGGATGGCCAGGAAGCGTTCGCGATGTCTTCTCGGGCGCTTATCCGGCGCTGATAATTGGCGTCTGTCTTGTGTCGGTGACGTAAAAGACGGATTTAATGCGACATGACCGTTCAAACAGCAGTCGCTTTCTGAAACATCGGATATGTATTGGATTCAGTACCACATACGAAAGTGACCCAGATTGGATTTGAAAATATCGGATTTGCGCCGTTCACACTGTCATACCATGATTGGATATGGGTCACATAGGGTCAAAAAAATCGGATTTGATGCGCTTTCGCCTGCAGTGCGAACGTAGCCATATAGACCAGGGGTCTCAAACTCAGAGGAGCTGTGGGCTGCTGCTGCCGCCACTGTCATCTCATTGGAGGGCCACTTAAGTGATCAAGTAGAACAAAAAGAAAAACCAAGAAAATATCCACAAATATTTCCAAAAATGTAGTGCTTTTCTTTATTTTAAATATTCTATGATAAGTAAAATCTGCAAAAGTAAGCACAATTGTTTTTCCCCCTCACTCTTAGCTAACTGAAGCCTTTCATTGAACTACCAAATAAACAAATTTGTACTCTCTTTCTGGCCAGACACGTGGCAGCACTTCTGCTATCATTTTGTTCATATTTAACAAAATGAAAATGCAGACATGAGTGTACACATTAGTGTTTGACTCTCTTACTGAACTAACACAGTTTGTACTCTGTTTTTACCTCAGCCAGGTCCACGACTCTGAACCATGGTAAAGAGACCTCTGGTTAATACGTCGGGTTCCGTGTCGGGCTGGTAGCCAGTAGTTAGCTTTACTGTCTGGGTCAACTTTGCTAGCGAGAGACAGAGAGAGGCGTTAAAAGGGTGCTCCAGGCACGGGCTGTCTGCTTGGATTTTTCTATCTCATGGCTTCGCCCTGCTACGAAGCGTGTGTGCTTGTACAAAGGCCGTTCAACCTCAGGATTTACACTCGGTTCGACACAGATATGTGAAGAATGAAGGGACCCTGCACCGAAACGGAGTTGCAGCCTCTGACTGAGTGCCTGTTTTTGCAGTCTGGCCACCTGTTGAAGGTAACGTGCTAACGTGGCTAACACTAGCATCACCTCATGTAGCCCCGTTATTTAAAGGTCATTTTAGCTTATGAAATTTTTATGTCGCAGCTGTACGAGCTAGCTACGTGTTTTGTCAGCTGCTGTGCTCTTCACAAATAAAGCTGGAAGCAGCTCAGACTGTTAGAACCAGCACTGAGGCCTGTTACATTTATACAGTGTTAGAGCAATGGCTGCAGCCTACAGCCTTTAAACTAGCGATTAAAATGCTGACAGTCAACTCGTCAGTCCAGTTGTTACCACATTACTCTATGGTACTTAGAGTTAAAACAACTGAGACAGGCTGATTAAAATAACAGCTGTCAGTTCTCTCATTCCTTATATCAAGACTGGAGATCACACTACTGATTTCAGCTCATTTAATATGTGAGTGCACAGATTCATTCTCAACTGGACATAAACGATGATCAAAGGTTGTATATATGATGAAGTCATCAAATCCCAGCCTCTAACACAGTGCGCTGAATCTTAGCTTTGAATGTCCAGTATATTCTAATCAGTGCAATCTAAGCATTCACTGAACCTACAGTATCTACACCTGTGTGGCAAATGTGTGGTAAAGATACAGATAATGAAATTTAATTATTAATACAATATACATCATGAAAAATGAAAACTAAAATTGATTCAGTTTAGTACTTTTCTCTGTATGCTCTGTGATTATAAAGGCCTGAAATTCTGTGATATATACTGTAAATGATTTTCACAAAGGTCGTAAAGTACTTAAATCACTGCTGATAGTCTGGTTGTTTATATTTTCATGTTTTTGTGTCTGTAGGGCTGTTTGATGATAATTTGGACTTCTCTGGGAGATGAGGACACACCCACATCTGTTCCATACTGCAGCCATGGATGGTGTTACAGCTTTGGGGCATCAGACACACACACCGGAAAACCAGCACCTGGACTTCATGCAGGAGAGACTGCCTCAGTGATGGACTCTGCATCCTCTACTTTACCTCCTAATCTCTTTCTTCTTTAACACACAATTAAAATCACTCCAAAAGAGTGTAAACTTACTGAGGAAGTTTTACTTGTACACATTTGTACTTTTGCTTGTTTTGAGTTATTTTTAAGAAGAGTAAAGTTATTCACATAAAGTTTTTATTCTTCTGTATTTATTCTTTTGTATCATGTACCACAGTCATACTGAACTTTACAGACCTGGTGAATTGGAGAAAACAAAGATCACACACACACATATATCATTCAGCTTCAGCAGTATTTCTATTCATCTTATGAATTCCAGTCTAATGTCAATTCACTGAGTTCAGTTTTTGTCTTAAACTCCAGATAATACCACCTGGTTCAACAATCTTTTTATCTGATTTCTGGCAAAATGTTTTCTTCTTTCTTCTGAAAGAAGAAAACATTTTGGGCTCAATTTCAGCCTCAGGCAAAATTGAGCCCAAAGAAACAACAACAAAGTTTAGCTCCTCTGGATTTTCCATGGAAAATTGTTTTATCACTCATCCAGGTGATAAAACACTCATCACCAGTGATGAATGTATCTCCCACTGGAAACCATTGTGTCCAGTTAAAGTCAATCGACTTTTTTAAGGAGAGTTGTTAGATGCTGTGCTCATGAGGACAATGAGTTTTAACTTGCAGCACAACACAAAGCTGCCATACTGGATCAACGATGAAAACATGAATATCCTCATGACACATCACACATGATCCAG